CCACAGTGGCTTTGAAGCACTGAAAGCCTGAAGTTCACGGCTTCTAATCCTCGGTTAGAATGTATATTTTAAGGTTTGCAAATTGGTTTTTCTTTTCAAATGAAGTTATTTAAAACTCATATGAGGTAGGGGCCATAGAGAGGGCTCAGAGGTTAAGAGCATGTACTGCTCTTCCAGAGGACCCGAGTTCAGTTCACAGCATCCACATGGTGGCTCACAGCCTTTGTAACCCCAGTTCCAGGGAATCCAGTGCCCCCTTATGACCTCTAGAGACATGGCAGGTGTAGGCAAAACACCCATACGCATAAAATGAAAAAAAATAAAAAAAAATAAACCAATCTTTTAAAAATCATATAAAAATACAATTTGACTGGGCTACATCAAAAAACAAAAACTTGCCAGATGGTGGTGGTACACACACCTTTAATCCCAGCACTCAGGAGGCAGAGACAGCCAGATCTCTGTGAGTTTGAGATCAGTCTAGTCTACAAGGTGAGTTTCAGGAAAGGCTCCAAAGCTACATAGAGAAATCCTGTCTCAAAAAACAAAACAAACAAAAAAGCCCCACAACTCATACAAGGTAACAAAAACCTTCCCAGTATCCAATATTGGATTTGAGAATACAAACTGAATATCACAAACACAGCCATCATAACTGACTCAGGGCCCATTTGTGAACCAGTAGCCAGAGGGAGGTGAGACAAACACCATCTTACAGCCGACACTGAAGCCTGAGGTACCCCAGTCCCTATTTCCTGGTACCCCTTTCAGCTCCCTACAGGAGAGTTTAGCTTGCATCTGGATGCTCAAACTGAGCACTCTTGGTTTGTAAACAGTCAAGGCTCTGAGATGAGCTTCTGCTCTCTTCAAAAGTATAACTTGCAGTGTTTATGGACAGCTCTCTGGGCTACCGTTCATTACTAGTGACTCATCTTTTGTTTACTTATTATATATTTATTTGTTTAATTTTATGTGTTTGTTTGGCCTCTGTATACTCAGGAGCCATGAAGGTCAGCAGAGTCATCAGACACCCTGGACCTGGAGTTACAAGTGGTTGTGAGCTGCCATGTGGGTGCTGGGAATTGAACCTGGGTCTTCTGCAAGAGCAGCTGGTCCTTATGAACCATCTCTTCAGCACCTTTTTTTTTTTTTTTTTTTTTTTTTGGACAGGGTGTCACTGTGTAGCCATGGCTGTCTTGGGAATTGCCATATAGACCAAGATAGCCTTGAATTCACAGAGATTCGCCTGCCTCGGATCCCTGAGTGCTAGGGTTAAAGTTATACACTACCACAGCTGGCTTCATTTAGCTTTTCTTTCCTTCCTTTCTTTCTTTCTTTCTTTCTTTCTTTCTTTCTTTCTTTCTTTCTTTCTTTCTTTCTTTCTTTTTTGTTTGGTTGTTTGTTTTGTTTTGTTTTTGAGACCAGGTTTCTCTGTGTAATAGTCCTGGCTGTCCTGGAACTCACTTTGTAGACCAGGCTGGGCTCCAACTCACAGAGATCAACCTGCCTCGTCTCCTGAATGCTAAGATTAAAGGCCACCACTGCCCGACTGGTTTTCTTTCTTTTTTAGAGAAACCCTGTGTCAAGAGCCAACTTCCAATAGATCACAGCAAGGGAGCTGCTCTGCTGTGTAAGAAACCCTGACCCAAAGCCGGAGGTAGTGGTGTACATCTTTAATTCCAGCACTGGGGAGGCAGAAGCAGACAGATTTCCATGAGTTCAAGACCAGCCTGGTCTATAAAGTGAGTTCCAGGACAGGCTCCAAAGCTGCAGAGAAACCCTGTTTCGAAAAAACAAACAAACAAACAAACAAAACAAGAAAAGCAAAGAAACCCTGACTCAGAAGTAGATGATCTAAAAATGGTTTAGTGCCAGGGTCCACACCAACACGTACTCACCTGAAGGACAGGAGGGTGGCCATCTCTCTAGCTCAGCTAGCTTCTCTTTTCTGTTGTTTGTTTGTTTGGATGGTTTTGTTTTTGTTTCTGTGTTAACAGTTCTGGCTGTCCTGGAACTTGCTTTGTAGACCATGCTGACCTCGAGCTCACTGAGATCTGCCTGCTTCTGCCTTCTAAGTACTGGGACTAAAGGAGTGCGCCACTACGGCCCAGCTTGCTTTTTCTTAATGCATTTATTTTTCTCTTTAAATAACCTAACTAGGCTGTCTGGCCGGCAAGCCCCAGGGCTCTTCCTGTCCTCAGAGGCAGGATACAAGCATATGCTGCCTCCACACCTGGCTTTTTACAGATCCAAATTGAGGTCGTCATGGTTGCGCAGACCATACTTCCCAGCGGAGCATGGTGGTAAAGAGGTGTAATTGTAGTAGTTAGAGGGTTGAGGCAGGAGGATTGCCACAAGTATGAGTCCAGCCTAAGCTACAAAGTAAGTTCCAGGTTAGTGGGACTCTGTCTCTAAATAAATACAATAAATCCATACATAAATAACAAGCAAAGTATCGATTAGGAGTGTGGAGGAGTATCTCAGGAAGCAGTGAGATGGAATTGTCTCTCTGTATGGCCAGTAAAGATGGTGCTGTGGAATTTCAGTTAATACGTGTTACATTATTTTTTTTAAGATTTATTTATTTATTATGTATACAACATCCTGCCTCGATGTGTGCCCGCACACTGAGGAGGGTGCCAGATCTTAGTACAGATGGTTTGGAGCCACCATGTGTTTGCTGGGAATTGAACTCAGGACCTCTGGAAGAGCAGTCAGTGCTCTTAACCTCTGAGCCATCTCTCCAGCCCGTGTTACATTATTTTGTGCTGTGGAACATTTGTTTTAATGATGTAAAGGTGTGTTGCTTTTGTTTATGCTGCATTTGTTTAACTCTGTGAAGCTGTGTTACTTTGCCTGTCTAAAACACCTGATTGGTCCAATAAAAAGCTGACCGGCCGGTAGCTAGGCAGGAGAAAGGATAGGTGGGACTGGCAAGCAGAGAGAATAAAGAGGAGGAGAAATCTGGGAGAGATCTAGGAGAGAGTGAGAAGGAGAATTCTGAAGGTCAGCCACTCAGCTATACTGCAAATCACAGAGTAAGAAGAAAAAAAAAGGAATATAGAAATAGAGAAAGATAAAAGCCCAGAGGCAAAAGGTAAACAGGATAATTTAAGTTAAAAAAAAATACTGACTAGAAATAAACCAAGCTAAGGCCGGGCTGGGTGCAAGTCCCCAAAGAGTAAAAGAGTAAAATAAGAACAATTCCAGGACTGGGGTCAGCTGACCTGGTTTATTATCCTATAAACGCAGCAGTAGTTTAACACCCTTGAGCATTGTTTGTTGCTGTCTTGGTTTTCTTATGAAAATCTGGATGCTAAAAGATCCCCTTTTGGTGGTTTAGAAGTTTTAAAGGTTGTAAAACATCATGACGTTCTATTAGGAAATGAAATTAATCCTGCAATTGAGCGAACCTATATTGCCTTCCGAATCAGCCATGATAAATGATGAAAGTTCCCGGCCTGCCAGTTTGGCTTTCGAAAGAGTCTCAGGTGAGAACGATAGCTCCGAGGCTTGATATTTGGGGATACATTAAATAAAAAATAAAGTTATAAAAGTCAGCTTGAATACATTTCTCATGTGCTACCTATAATTTGATGTTTACTCAAAATCAGTGCCATGTCTGATATGCTGACATATGAAATTTAATTTAAAAAGCAACCCTTTTAATCTTAACTATTAATTAAAATGTATGTTATTGAGTGTGTCCTCTAGGTAACAGGTATTATGTGTTAGGTCAGGATTGATAAAGGGGATGCAGAAATAAAAGAGGAGGCCAATTGTCCCTTATCCAGAACAAGGGAGGCAGCTGTCTCTCCACGTAGAGTCGGTGCCCTGGGGCTCAGGGGCAGAAAACGGAACATTTGGGAGAAAAGCTTTATTGGTGGGTGTGTTTCTGGTGGTGCCAAGGCCTAGTGATCACAGTGGATGTTCTCATTACTATGTTGGTTTTCTTGGTAGGCAGGTGGTTTCTGTGTTTTTAAGGGTTTCTCTGTTCCTGGCTGTCCTGGAACTAGTTCTGTAGACCAGGCTGGCCTTCAACTCAGAGATCCACCTGTCTCTGCCTCCTGAGTGCTGGGATCTAAAGGTGTGAGCCAATACCACCACCCAGCAGGTGTTTTTTATCAGAAATGCCGAGGTGGGAGTTTTTCAGCTCCTTTGAAGTTCACTGTTTTAGGTCATCAAGTCTAGTGTTGTCTGAGACAGGGTCGAGTAGCCCAAGCTGGCCTCCAACTTGTGAGATGGCTATGTTGGTTGGTTTTTGTTGTTGTTGTTTTGGTCAACTTGACACAAACTAGAGTCACCTGGGAAGAAGGCCCTCAATTGAGGCATTGCCTCCATCCGTGAACTGTGTGTATAACTGAGACTTTTTTTAATTAATGAAGTTTGTGCAATCTTTGTGATTGTATAATCAACCGGTCTGATAACTTTTTGAAGTACAAAAGCCCACCGGATCCGGTGACAGTGAGCGATGAAGCCACTTTCCTCCTTCCTGGTTTTCCCCACGACGGACACATTTACAGGTAACACCACCAGCTTTCTAATAATTTGCTTCCAGGCGATGTGAAGCCTGTGGAACTTGGTTTGCTATAGCGGGTTGATCCGTGAAACGCAAAGGTTGAAAAGAAAAAAACTTTTTCCTTTTCATTTCTCTTTTGTTCTTTTTGTTGTTTTTCTTCCTTTGGGCTACAATTCCTATCCCTCCACCACACAAACGTTTGGGGAGGCGAGGCACGTTAACCCTCTGAGCGTGAGCCGTCCCGGGGCGGCCGAGCTTCTCTTGGCCTAGACGGGGTTTGCTCTTCCGTTCCATTGGATGACGCTAGCGTGGGTGGCGCGCACTGCGGCCCGCCGGGGCGGAGGGAGGCGGCCTCGGCGGACGCAGCAGGCGAGACCCCGGCCTAGGGCCTAGAACGCGGCGGGGGGGCGGGGCGTCCCGCGCGGCCTTCCCGGCGTGCCCCGCGCGGGGGTGGGGGGACTCTTATCTTGAAGGACCGGGTGACTCAGCCGCGTGGCCCGGGCGGGGGGCGGGGACGCGCGGTGGCCGGAGCTCAGCGGGAACCGGCGGCGGCGGCTGCTCGCTCGCGTCCCGGGCGGCTTCGGGGCTCCGGGGCCGAGAGCGCGGCGTCGGGGGACCGGTGAGTGGCGGGCGGGCTGAGGATGGCGGCGGGCTCGGAGCGGCGGCCTTGGGGCCCTGCGCGGGCTCCTCCCCGGCCTGAGGAGAAAGAACCCGGGGCAAGCGAGCGGCCGGGCCTCGAGGGGAACCCGGCCTGGGGAAGGTTGGTCACGATTCCCACGGGACTCTGGACCCTTCCGTCGGGGCCTGTCGCCCCTCTGTCGTCATCGCAGGCCGAGTGCAGAACCGGTAGTTTTCTTGCCAGTAACAAGAACTTTTATTTTTTTAGAGCAGACGGAGTCTCAGGCTTGTGCCGTCAAAAAAAAGTTCCCCTTCGTGGGCATTTGTCATTCTTTCTGAACATTCCTGGGTTGGGCGCCGATTTCCTATTTGGAATTGAATCTCATCCTATAAATGAGAATTCAGCAAATTAAGAAGATGCATTTCTAAGCGCTTTCACGGGGCCCGGCTGCTGCTAAGTCATTAGTTACCAGGAAGTTTGATATATTTTATCTCTTTAATGGTCTCCCAAAGTGTTGGAATACTACTAGTTGTGGTGAATCTTTTTTAATTGATTTTTATTGAGCTCTACATTTTTCTCTGCTCCCCTCCCTAGTTGTGGTGAATCTTGAATTAGAACGTCAACCCCACTCCTAAAGAACAAAAACAAACCCTAAGTAGCAGGTCTCAAACGTGCTTGCCCCCGTTAAAGGTTGCACGGCTCGGCTCTCAGAAACTGATTCGAGACATCTGGGTGGGCCCCTGAGTCGGCAGTGTGAGCAGGCACCCACCCCCTCACTTGGGCGGCACTGGTAAGCCGGGACCAGACCTTGGGAAACCAGAATTAGCTTGGCCTGAGAATAGTAAAAAACTGTCCAGTGCCTTTCCCTTTTTGTTGACTTACTCGTCTCGGTGGTCTGGGTGCGTAGCCAGACAGGAGCCGAGAAGTCCTGACTCCGGAAGGCAGTGTGAGAAGGGATAGTATTTTCTGGAACCCTGACATCAGGGTTGGAAATGGCTTTCATACATATCCTGTTATTGCCTTGGTAGGAGAAAGATCATTTGTATCTGGCTAACTTGCCGTTTCTTTCCGGAGCCTGTCGCTAGGAGCTAGGAGCATCAGAGCGGGAGCTGTGCCCTTAGGTCGAGTCTCCCTCCTCAGCTGTCTTCACCCCACAGTACCAGCTCCGCAAAGTTCCCATAGCCTGTCGGTCTTGAGTTCTCTGGGATGTACACCAGCAGATGGGCGTTTGCCTCTTCACTTTCTGAATGTCTGGTTAATGCCTATCTTATGCAAAACACTGAGGCCATTTTCTGAGCGGTATCCCAAATATGGCCCAGATTTCCCTTGCTCTCTGGCAGAAATGAGGGTTGGATTACCTCCACTTCTGCCGAAAGGTGTTTTCTACTTCTTATTGCCCCTTCAGATAGGCTCCACAGGTGGCCTTAAAATAAAGTAGCCGTAGTTTTTTGGCATTTTTCTTGGCTTTGGTGTCTTTTTGGATGTCTGGCTTCACTTACTGATCTTCTCGCATCTATCCCAGATCTGACCTCCCAAGCTTCTGTCGCTAATTGGAGTGGGAAATGGAAAAGAACTGTTGGAGTGTTCAGTGATGTAAGTGGGAAGCTCAGTCACTGGAATGTGAAACGTAAAGGACTGAGGGACCCTGTTATAAATAATGGACCTCATACCGTCCTCATCTCTCAGGGAAGTAACCCGAGATGAGGTAGAGTGCCTGCTCCACTTGCGTGTGAGGCCCTAGGTTTGGTCCGCAACAGGAAAGGCTGAGAGGTGAGACGGTTCCTAGCCTGCTGTTCTTCCCTCTTAATTATCTTTTTAGCGGCTTCGAAAGGGAAAGGGTGCAAAGAAGAAAAAAGTGAAGACAGTGGAGAGACTTTCCCATGACCACAAAGCCAGTGTTATCCGGGACCCTGGGGAATGTGTTCTGACTGTTGGTGAGGGATGAAAGTGTCGAGAGCACTCAGTCACTAGGTCGGGAGCTGGAGGTGAGTAGCCAAAGGGCGAGGGAGAGCAAGCGGGCAAAGACAGCTCACTGTTTGAAAACATTGGCTTTAGGAAAGAATGAATAGAGATGGGCGTTGAGCAGTTGTGAGCGCAGCAGTGTCCAGAGCGTCTGCAGTTGTGTTGGGCTGCTGTTGTCACTGTCAGGTATTAGGTTGGGGTTTGCTTGTATGTCAGCCAGATATGGCATTATATACCTTTAACTCATGCTGTGTCCTTGAGATGAGGTTGTTAGATCCCTTGGGATGTAGGTGCTGGGAATGGAGTCCAAGTCTACAAGAGGCTCTTGATTACTGAGCCATCTCTTCAGCTCATTTTGTTTTCTGAGAAAGAGTCATGTGTAGTTCACACTTTAAAAAAAAAAAAAAAAAAAAAGATGGAGACCGGGCAGTGGTGGCCTTTAATCCCAGTTGTCAGGAGGTGGAGGCAGGAGCATCTCCGAAGTTGAAGGCCAGACTGGTCTACACAGTGAGTTCCAGGACAGCCAGGGCAGTTACACTGAGAAATCCTGTATCAAGAGACTTAAAAAATGGGGGATGGTGGTGGTGGAGAATTTTGCCAATTGGACATTTGGTGTTGGAATTTTCTTTATTATAGTTGTGATTAAGTTACTAGGACTTATGCAGGGCAGAGTGGCAAATACCATCTTAGTACTCAGGAGGCAGAGGCCACCCTAGTGAGTGAGTTCCAGGACAGCCAGGGCTACAGAGAGAAACCCTGCCTCAAAAAAAAAAAAAAAAAAAAAANCAAGCCCTAGGATTTTTAAGACTATTTTCTGTTTTATTTTGAATTGTATGTTCATCCAAAAATTTAATTTTTGCCATAACTACTAATCTTCCAAGTTTGTGATGCTAGTCATATTTGTGTTCCCAAGACAGGTTGGGGGGCTGGGGACATGTCTCAGTAAAGTGCCTGTTGTGCAAGCATGAGGGCTGAGTTCGGATCCCTGGGACCATGGAAAGCCAAATGCGGCACTGAGAGGTGGAGACAGCAAGACCAAGGCAGGCTAACCAGCCAGGCTAGTCAGCTGGTGAGCTGCGGTTTAGTGAGGTGGAGTGTGTTAGAGCAAGACACCAGATGTCAGCTTATGGCCCCCACAGACATACATGGACATGTACACCCATGCACACACAAAGATACAGCTTGGGTGTCCCATATACAGAATACTGTGTAGCAGAATTCAGATGGTTTTGAATTTGGAAGTGTTTGCATATTTGGAGGTAGGACTTACATCATGAAATTCATTTGTTTTATATACACATGGTCTAAAGGTATTTTGTGATGTTTTTAATACTTTTGTGTATGAAACAACTTTATAGTGTATAATTTTCTACTTGTGGTTTCATATCTAAGATGAAAGTTTGGGGGTTTTGAAGCATTTCAGATTTCAGAGTTTTAGAATTTACCATATTTCCCAGACATGTAATTTATTAGTAGTTTCAGTTTTATTTCTGTGCATATGTCTGTATGTGCAGGCACAGGTGTATGTTCATTTGTGCACATGAATGTGGGGGCCGTAGGCAGCCTTGGGTGGTAGTCGGGACTAACACTGTACTTAATGCGCCTTTAGAAGATTTCTCATTGAAGGAACTTACGTATCTCACTTCATCCTTAGGAAGTACAGTCTTGTAGTTTTTACTGCAATCATAGGTTGTGTAACCATTACACCATTTTTTTCTTGATGAATTTTAGAACTCCTTTAGATTTTCTTCATCTGTTTTTATTTTTTTGGGACAGGGTTTCTCTGTGTAGCTTTGGACTCTGTCCTGGAACTCACTCTGTAGACCAGGCTGGCCTTGAACTCACAGAGATCCACGGCCTCTGGGGGGAGGGGGGCTGGGATTAAAAGGCCTGCGCCACCACTGCCCGGCTGGGAGAACAACTTGCAAGAGTCAGTTCTTTCCTTCCTCTCTGGGGTTCTGGGACCAAACTCAGGTTGTTAGCTTGGGCAAGTGCCTTTACCTGCTGACTCCGTAATTTGGTAATTACCAGTTTATAGAACCCAGGCGTTGGGCCTGTTAATGTTAAGTCAGTTCTCTATCATTGACAGCACCGCCTCACACACCCCCCCCCCTTTTAGGCTTTATTCTCTGAGACAGCCTGGGACACAGTGTGGGACAACACCCTGGCACGTTTTCTTTCTCTCTAATTTCTCCCCTTTTCTGTATATTCTTTGGGATTGAGGAAGTATTTGTCAAGAACATTTTGTCGTTCTGGTTCTTTTCCAGTATGCTTATTAAAACTGTTGACCTTTAACTTGACTTAAGCTTGCCTGTGTTGTGATTTGTCATTCAGTTGAAAATAGTTCTCCTGTTTTTTCCTCTTGTGATAGGGTTTCTCTGTGTAGCCCTGGCTGTCCTGGAACTCCCTCTGTAGACCAGGCTGGCCTCGAACTCAAGACATTGCCTACCTCAGCCTCCCCAGCCTGGGATTAAAGGCATGAGCCACTCCTGTGTCCTGTTGGGATTTCCTTTCACTTTTAACCCGGATAACTCCGAAGTGTGTCCTTTTTTTTTTTCTAACACTTGCAGACCTCGGTTTGTGTTACTGATTGCTGTGACCCTGTTCTTGGAGAGCATAGCTGTAGTGTCAGCCCATTTAAATGTATGGGGCCATGTTGCCTAATCATGTTCAGCTCTAGCCAAGTCTCCAAGAATGCTTGGAAATGATGCTCTGCAGTCCTGGGTGCAGTTGTCAGACTTTCTGTACCCAGAGCAGCAGGATGTTGTTGACTTGTGCATGTTTATCAGTGGCTTTAGTAGAACACAGCCATGTTTACTCATCTGTGATTGCTGATGGCTCTTTGCACTGTAGTAGTGTGGCCTGCAAAACCTAGAATGTTTACTGTCTCATTCCTTACCAGAAGAGTTTACCATTCCTGTTGGAATTCTTACTTCAGGCTCCCTGCTGAAAACTTTGCCTGCCAGGAAAGGCCCCTATAAATATTTACAGGGTCCTACCCATCAGTGAGCCATTCCCAGTCTCCCACAGCACCGTGAGGCTGACATGTTTGCTTGATGTCACCACTTCCTAGCTGTTGGTTTCTGCTTGGCTTTATATACAGCCTCTTGGCAATTGTTTCTAAAGTGTCTGCTTTCTGAAGAGGAAAATGGTAAGAATCAGGCTTGCTTCAGTTTTCCTCATCAGCCTGGAGGACTGAGTGTGTGTGTGTGTGTGTGTGTGTGTGTGTGTGTGTGTGTGTGTGTAAGGGATTGTGGGCTGCTTGTGAGGAGAAGTGACATGGTAAGCTTTATAGCCAGTATGCTTTAAGAGGGTGGGTGTGAGAATGAGAAGGTGAGGGGACTGGAGCGATGGCTTAGCAGTTAAGAGCACTGGCTGCTCTTCCAGAGGACTCTGGTTCAATTCTCAGCACCCACACGGTAGCTCACAACTGTCTGTAATTCCAGTTCCAGGGGCTCCAACACCTTCTCATACAAAGTATATAACAGGCAAAACACCAGTACACATAAAATAAAAAGTAGATATTTAAAAAAAATTGGAGAAAGGGAAGGTAAAAATGAGGACTTAAGTAGCACAAGTCAAAATTTACTTGTTTTATTAACTTATTTAAATTATGTGTACTTGTTTGTGTGGCTATGTACTTTTAAGTGCAGGGACCTATGGGTGCCAGAAGGGGGCATTAGATCCCCTGTAGCTAGGGTTAAGAAGTGAGCCACTCCGTGTTGATGCTGCAAACCAAACTCAGAGCCTCTGTATGACTGGTGTGCGTTCTTAACTGTGCGTCTCTTCAGCGCCGTTTATTTGCTGTTTTTTTTTTAAATATTTATTATGTATACAATATTCTGTATGCATGTAGACCTAAAGAGGGCACCAGACCTTATCACAGATGGTTGTGAGTCACCATGTGGTTGCTGGGAATTGAACTCAGGACCTCTGGAAGAGCAGGCAATGCTCTTAACCACTGAGCCATCACTCCAGCCCCCTATTTGCTGTTATTTTTATGTAGTCTGAAAAATTCATTTGTGTATGTCTCTTGGTCACATTCACTCTCATTCTTTCCCTCCCACTCCCCTGGTCCCTTCCAACTTCATGCCTTCGAGTTTAGATATGCTGCCCATGGGATCATCCGCTGGGCATGGGCATCCTGCCTGTGGCCACCTCCTACTTCATGCTAGAATTCTCAACTTACTTGATCTTGTGTAGGTGACCATAGCTGCTAGGGTTCATGTGTGCAGCAGTCTTGTCTGGCTGAGGACATGTGTGTTTCATAATGACCCTCACCTTCCAGTTCTCCTATTCTCTCCACCCCTTCATCTGAGATGTTTCCTCATCCTTAGGGTGGCGGTTGATAAAGAGGTCTTCTCTTCAGCCAAGCACTAGCTGTTGTGTGTTCTGCACTTTGAGTGGTTCTGAGCATCTGTGCTGGCCACCACTCACTTTAGTATGGCTTTAGGTTGTGATTTTTGGATGTTCAATTGTTGCAGGCATGCATATGTCATTTTAAAAAAATATATTGGCAGAGCTGGGCGGATTAATCCCAGCTCTTGGGATGCAGAGTCAGGTGGCTGGGTCTACATAAGTGAGTTCCAGGATAGCCAGGGTCACACAGAAAAACCCAAATAATAACCAGAGGCAGACTTTGAGCTATTAAATCCCTTTTGCCACCTCATTCATCATTTATGGCAGAGTGACACCAAATTATGTCCCACCACTTAGTATGTAGAGATCACAGTGCATAGCCAGGCGGCACATGATTTTAATCTCAGCTCTCAGATCTGAACTCAAGAGAGACCATTGTAGTGGCGCCTTGTCTCAAAACAAAACAAAACAAAAAATGTTTACTGTAGCAGCTTCATCAATTTGTAGTGGTTGGTCCAAGCCATCTAGATCCACTGATGTCATTAACCAACCATTACAAACCCCAGAAGTCCCTGGAAGCCAGTCTCATGAGTTTTTTTTTTTTTTTAAGATTTATTTATTTATTATGTACACAGTGTTCAGCCTCCATGTATGCCTGCAGGCCAGAAGAGGGCGCCAGATCTCATTACAGATGGTTGTGAGCCACCATGTGGTTGCTGGGAATTGAACTCAGGACCTCCGGAAGAGCAGTCAGTGCTCTTAACCTCTGAGCAATCTCTCCAGCCCCAGTTTCATGATTTCTAAATCATACGCATTCCTTGTCTTCCAGGCTTCCTCTCTAAGAATGAATGTTCACCAGGGCAGTGATGGCGACAGGTTATTACAGCCAGAGCTCAGCTGCCTAGGAGATGAGACCTTAGCTGCCACTCAAGAGAAAGAAAGCAGCAGCTTGGTGTCCTCTGGACTTCATATTGTCACTTATCCCCTAGCTACCAGGAGTGAAGGTACAGCGATGGGGGTTTTCTCGCACCCAAACATCTGCCCAGGAGAAGTGCAGATTCTTAACCTGAGCATATCTATAGTCAGTTCATTGGCTTGGCTTACATTTCACAGTGGATTCAGCTGACATTCAGCCTGGCCCATCCACCTGCATAAGTGTGTAAGACAAACAGCTGGGAGTTTGCAGTCAGGAGGCAAATTGACCTTGCCTGTGGTCCATGTCAGCTGTAATATGAGACCCTCACTCCCTGAGAGCTCTGCTTGTAAAGGAGTGAACAGAGTTGTCCATGGTCGTCCTCCCTTAGAGGGCTCTGGATCAGCATGGATGGCGGGACAGTTCCTGATAAACTGTTGTGGGTGGGCTTCCGTGGAGTCTTTGACTGGCTGACAGGCCTGTGTTACTGTAGACTGTGCTCTTGAACTCAGAGCAGGCTTCCTGCCTCTGCCCCCTGAGGACTACAGTGACGGGCATATGCTATCATACCTCACTCTCAGGTAGCCTTGGTAACTTTTTGTTTCTTTCTTAAGCTGGAACTTGGTTTATTTGTATTGTTGGTTTTTTTGTTTTGGTGGGGTTTTGTTTCTTTTGTTGTTGGTAGTCTCCTCCTCCCCCGTACCCCCAGATGGGTTTTTTTGCTGTGTAGCCCTGGCTGTCCTGAAACTCCCTCTGTGGACCAGACTGGTCTTGAACTCAGAGATCCGCCTGTCTCTGTCTACTGAGTGCTAGGATTAAAAACATGTGCCACCACACCTGGTTCAATTGGCTAATTTTTAACTGGCTGGACTTTTTATCTTATTTTTCAGCCTATAACTTTAAAAAGGTAACCACCATTTACTGAGTACAAATTCATACAAATTTTTACATATATATTTTAATTTATTTTCATTATTTTGTATGGGTGCTTTGCCTATATGCATGTCTGGAACCACATGCATATCGGGTGCTCATGGAGGCCAGAAAAGGGCATCAGATCACCTAGAACTGAAGTTTCAGATGGTTGGGAACCACCTTGTGGGTTCTGGAAATTAAACCCAGATCTTCTGGAAGAGTAGGCAATGCTCTTAGTCACTACTGAGCCATCTATCCAGCTCATCGTATATTCGTTAGAGCAGAGGTTACAAAATGGTCCAATTTGGCTAGAGCCATTTTTGTTAAGATTTTAGGGTTTTGTTTTTGTTCTGGGGGGTGGCTGTTGTGCTTTTGTTTTTTTGTGACAGGGTCTCCGGTAGCCCAGGCTGGCCTCAAACTTGTTAGGTAGCTAACCTTGAACTTTAGATTCCCCTGCCTGGATCCAATTTGCCAGTGCTGAGGTAGTGCTGTGGTCACACATGGGGCTTTAAGCATGTTAAGCAAATACTCCACTGACTGGGAAAGAGCTCCTTGTTAATAAAGTTTTATGTGTGTTGTGGCATGCACAGGCAATTGGAGGGCAACTTTATGGAGTTCTCTCTTCCCACCTTTACGTGGGTTCTGAGACGGCCTGTCCTGCTCTGTCACGGTACTCAGTATTTACATGCTGATCCTCAGGACCATGTAAACCACTTGTGTCACATGGCAGCACTGGGGAAGGAACAGCAGGGACCAGAAGTTCATTGTCATCCTCAGCTTGTAGCTTTAGTTCAAGGGCAGCCTAGGCTTTACAAGACCCTGTCTCAGAAGTAGAGGAGATTTTTAAACAAATAATTTAAAGAAAAATAGCTTTTTGGTGATAGGACCAAAAAATGAGATTCCAAGAGTAAATCCTGGCCTGGAGAGATGGCTCAGTGGGTCAAGAGCACTGACTGCTCTTCCAGAGGACCCGGGTTCAATTCCCAGCACCCACATGGTAGCTCAAAACTATCTGTAGTTCCAGTTCCAGAGGACCTGACACCCATGGCAAAACACCAGTGCACATAAAATTAAAAAATAAAGAGTAAATCCTAATGCCAGTTCACAGTGGGGCTTTGCAGCTGACAGCAAGGTCTGGGAGACCAAATGCTGATACGGGTGGGGCCATGAGGATTCTCTAACGCAGTGAGAATGCTCTGTTCTGGGAAGAGAAAGACTTTCATTCTTTTTCTTTTATTTTTTTTTCCCTGAGACAGGGTTTCTCTGTAGCTTTGGAGCCTGTCCTGGAACTAGCTCTTGTAGACCAGGCTGGCCTCGAACTCACATAGATCCGCCTGCCTCTGCCTCCCGAGTGCTGGGATTAAAGGCATGCACCACCACCACCCGGCTAAGACTTTCATTCTTTCTGGCAAATTAAAAAACAAAAAAGCAGCCCTGAAGTCTGAAAATTGAGTTTTAGCACACAGTAGTTCCTAGAATGCAGATACCAGTGCTCGGGCTGGAGCTGAGTCTAGAGTAAACAGCACAGGAACCTGGCAGGCGCGAGGCACTGGCACACAGACCCGGCCCTGTGTGACCGAGTGTGATGGCACTTGCCCTGACCCCAGCACACAGAGGTGGAGGGAGGAGGACTGGAAATCAAAGGCTATCTTCAGCTACAGAGGGTTTAAGGCTAGCTTAGATTACACGAGATCCTGTCTCAAAGACAGTACTGGGCTAAGAATGCTTCCTGCTCTTTCAGACGACTTGAGTTGGGTTCCCAGCACTCAGGTTGGGTGGCTCATAAGCACCTGAAACTCCAGCTCGGGGATCTGACTTCATCATCTGGCCTCCTTGGGCACTTGAACATGTTCACACTCAATCCACAAACACAAAATCTCAAATAAGAGAGCAAGGGGATGTAAATTTTACTTAGAGGTGGAAATGAAACAGAAGTATGTACCAGACTTCTTAGGGGTACCTACCAGCTTCTAAATCAACACTTAATACACCAGTACTTGATATTGTGAATGCTTGGCCTTATTTTAGCTCTTATTTGAGTCTGTTTCTCTGTCTTGCCTCGGGCTTTTTACCTTTCCTTCTGTGTACCTTTCACTGCTGCTCAGGTCTGGCTAGCAGCTGCCTGGCATCTGGCCCTGGATGTGTCCTTTCTACCTTGTCTCTTTTCTCTCACTTCTCTGCCCACCAGACCCACCTATCCCTCTCATGCTTACCTATTGGCTGTTTAACTTTTTATTAGACCAGTCAGGTTCCTTAGGCGGCAAGGTGAAACAGCAGCACATCTTCATGTAATTAAACAAATGCCGCACAAACAAATGTAGCACATCTTTGCCTCGTTAAAGTGGTATTCCACAGAAGTAGGAAGTGGTTGCTTCTGAACACCAGCTTTTGGGGATTGGCAGGAGACTGCTAGGACACCACATAAGCCCTGCTCTTTGGTCCAGTCTTTCACTGCTAACTGCACTTAGTTTACTCTGGAATTTCAATCACTTTAAAGTGTGGGCATTTCTGCCTTTAATCTCTGTCAGCTGCATATCACACACATGCAGTAAGTGTAAGGCTCTAGTTTTGTGAGCAGTGGTGGTGGTTTGTTTTACTGGTTTGGGTTTTTCAAGACAGGTTTTTCTGTAACCCTGTCTGCTGCCCTGGATTTGCTTTGTAGACCAGGCTAGCCTCAAATTCAAAGATCTGCCTGCCCCTTACTTTAGAGTGTCTAGTTTTGTTTTTAATTTTCCCTAGGCTGGCATTTTACCTGTGAACTTAATGGCTTTAGATTTTTGTTTATTTTAGAACTGACATGGCTTCTTTTCTCTCCAGAAGTTTGCGCTTTAGTTACTTTGTTATTTGTCTGCTCTTTCAGACTTGGCACTTGACTATGCCCCTCAGCCAGCAAGCCTCCAGTATCCTCACATAATGCCACTTCCTGAAGACAGCAGCAAGGGCTCGTGCTTCCAAACTGGAAGCAAGCGGAGCCATGAGCCCTTCATCGTTTCAGAGAGATTTGGGAACAGCGGTGTAGGCTTCGGAGGTAGCTCTCACTCCCCAGCCCCAGAAAAAGTGACGCTTCTTGTAGATGGCACACGCTTTGTGGTGAACCCTCAGATTTTCACCGCTCATCCGGACACCATGTTGGGAAGGTAATGACAGCTTCCTTCTGTGTGCACTCCGTTTCTTGTGAGGAGAGGTGTTTGGCCTCACATCAGATGCCATGCTGCACAGAACTGGGCACAGGGCTGGCTTTCCTCCCTTCATGCTTCAGTGGGGAAGGCGAGGACAGCTGGTGGGAGCCTGGATGCTGGGAAGGTAGTGTTTGCACAGCTGAATGGGGAGGAATCTCAGGAGCTGCTGAGCCTCACCCCACTCCCCCCCCCTTTTTTTTTTTTTTTGATTTTCCAGAGAGGGTTTCTCTCTGTAGCTTTGGACCCTGTCCTGGAACTAGCTCTAGTTCAAGGCTGGCCTCCAACTCACAGAGATCTGCCTGCCTCTGTCTCTTGAGTGCTGGGATTAAAGCTGTGCACCGCCACTGCCTGGCCACCTCACCCCTCTTTAAATGTTGCACAGGTCGGAGATGCTAAGTTGAGTCCGAAGTCATGTTGTTTTCCTTCTGTGAGAAACATATCAGAAATGATCCACATGGCACAAGAACAAGGATGCCATTTTAGAAAAAACATTTGCATTCCACCCATTTCTACTTGGGGTCTTGTTTTTTCGTGGGGTGAGGGGGTGGGTTAGCAGTACTGGAGATTGAACTAGGAACCCAGGCATGGGAAGCAAGCACTATTGAGCCAAAGCCCTGGCCTGTTGCCACTTTATTTCTTAACATGTGTGTTTTGCCTGCAGGCATGTGTGTGCAGTACATTTATTCAGTGTCTGCAGGGGCTTGGAGAGGGTGTCAGATCCCTGGGACTTGTTCCTATGGTTGTGAGCTGCTCTATGGGTGTTGGGAATCTAACCAGGATCCTGAGTTTATGGGGAGTGTAGGCCTCCTCATGAAAATGTCAGGTGTAGAAGAGCCTCACACTGGTCTGAAATCCATGGCTGTTGGAGTTGGCCTTTTTAAAAGAGAAGATGAGCCAGGAAGGGATGCACTAGGAGCTGCCCCCTCAGTTGGTTTACACTGCAGAGGCCTCTACAGCTTCCTCTGCAGTTGCCACTACACTGTGCCTGCTGCCACAGACAGATGCTTCCTTCTTTTCCTTTTGCCTGAGGGAGTTTCCTGAGGTCTGTATTCATCTGTGCGGTGTCGGGTCCTAGGGCTGTGCTTTTCAATTATGCTGCAAGAGTAGGGCCATGTGTAGGAGAGGGGAGAAAAGCTGCCTCTGCAGAGTCCTGGTGGAGGAGGTAATCCTGTTGCTGGTGTCTTTCAGGATGTTTGGACCAGGAAGAGAATATAACTTCACGAGGCCCAATGAAAAGGGGGAGTACGAGATTGCAGAAGGGATCAGTGCCACAGTGTTCCGCACAGTGCTGGTATGCAGTTCTTTCCTTTTCCGTCCTCCACCGTGGCATGCATGCTTGCATGTTGCACCCTCATGTGCTCCACAGTTGTATGACTGACTCTTGGGTCTTTGGTATCCAGTTGTTGTTTTCCCTTGTAATTGGAGACTGCTTTTGCATTTCTCAGCTGCCCAGACCTGAATAATTACACAGAAACTACATTAATTACACTGTTTGGCCACTCAGGTGTTTCTGGGTAGCTCTTACATCCTAAATTAACCCATTTCTAGGGTATATTTTACCACGAGGCTCATGGTTTGTTACCTGCATCTAACCTCTGGAGTGGCTACATGGCATCTCCTTGACTCTGTCTACTCTCTTCGAATTTCCCACCTGGCTTTACTCTAAGCCATTGGCCGAAACATCTTTATTTACTAACCAGTAAACACATATATACAGAAGGACTTAAAATTACATATGCAAAACAGTTATCAAGCAAAAATTATACTTAAAATATTTAGTGTATTTACATTTGGCAAATTAAGGAAAATACTCTTATCTATCCTATCTTTGTGAGTCTAAAATTTTATATCTAATTTATCTCTTACCATAACTAAGGAAAACTATCTATGTTCAACTCCATCAAAGACCCCAGAAAGATACATTACCTAAGTTAAACAGGAAGTACATTGTAAGAAACATCCAAAACTCTAGAATTCACAAAGACATCTCACTGCCTGGACAGTCACCCAAAATTCTTCTGTAATGTTGGGACCTGTGGTGTCTATATTCTGAAGGTCCATAGTATCTGGCAGACTTTTCCATGAAGCAGGAAATTTGAAAGACTGTTCTGCCTATATTGGCAGTTTGTCAGTCACTTTATTCAGTGTCCTTCAGAATGTCTGGCAGCCTCTTCCATGAAGCAGGAACCCTGAATGACTGTCTGACCTTCTTTTGGCAAGTTCAGCAGTCATTTTTCTATGGATCCTGCATGTCCAGTTTATACAGCATATCATCAGGCAATCCAGGCAAAAGCAGTTTCTCACCCTAATGGCTAATTCCATAAGGAGCCTCTTTGATCCCCATCATCCCCTGTGAAGTAATTGGTACTGCCAGAAGCAGACCTATCGCACTATCAAGAGAAGTCTAAGTTCTTAAAACCTTTTAAATGCCATATTCTGTAGTCTTTGAAGTGTTGAAAATTATCTGAAATATATCTCTATATCTAGAAACCCTAATATGACTAAAAGTTTGATTATAAATAACTATTACTCTATAATTTTAAATTAAACATACATTTTTAATGAGTTGTCTAAACATAATACATTCAACAAGAGTAGCTTTATTCATCAATTAATTAATAAAAGCAACAACATAATGTACAGAAGGCTATCCCAAATCATTTCCTTCTTTATTTTTCCTGTCTATAACTTCTAAGTCCTTGCTCAGTTGCATTCAGTTGTCAGGATCTGCTTAAACTTGGGTAGATGGGAGCCAAATGCACTGAGCAGTTGACTCCAAGATCTCACCGTCTCAGTAGCATTAGAAGTGTGTAGGGTTAGAGGAGTCATTCCCATGCAGTTTTTTTTTTAAATATTTATTATGTAAACAATATTCTGTCTGTGTGTATGCCTGCAGGCCAGAAGAGGGCACCAGACCTCATTACAGATGGTTGTGAGCCACAATGTGGTTGCTGGGAGTTGAACTCAGGCCCTTTGGAAGAGCAGGCAGTACTCTTAACCTCTGAGCCATCTATCTCTCCAGCCCCTCTTGTGCATTTTTTTGCCTACATTTCTACTTTGCAATCTCTTCACAGGATTATTACAAAACTGGCATCATCAACTGACCGGATGGTATCTCTATCCCAGATCTGAGAGACACGTGTGACTATCTCTGCATTAACTTTGACTTCAACACTATCCGCTGTCAAGATCTGAGTGAGTATGGAGCAGCTGTTTGCCTCTCAACCAGTGCACGGTCACTGCTTAGCGGTGCAGGCGTGTGGAGCGTGGGTTGAGAACCAGCACAGAGGTGGACATCCTGCTAACTAGCCGTTGCTGCTTTTACATTAAGAGGTAGTGGGGAAGTAGAGTAAGTGAAAGGAATCAGCTGGGGAGTGTGGCTCACAACCATCATTCCAGCACTCAGAAGACTGAGGCAAGAGGATGACCATAAATCCAGGGCCAACATGGTCTACAGAGTGATACTGTCTTAAAAGGCTGGAGATGTCTCAGTTGATAGAGTGCTCACCTGGCATTGAGACCCTGGGTTTGCTCCGTGCTCAGCACCAAATACTAGGCATGATGAGTCAGACCTGTGATTTCAGCGTTCAGGAAGTGGAGGCCGGGAATGAAAGTTATGAATCTAATCTGACCATCTAGTCACTGGGCTATTGAGTAGGACCATGGCATCATCTGTGACAAGCAGGAGTACTGAGTGTCAGTGAGGAAAGGATCATGGTCACACTGAACAGCATTAAGTATATAACTCTAATTATCACCTTGGGGCAGGAGCTCTGTCATACAGTGCCTAATCTCTGTATGTCCTGTGAGTCTCCACCCAGCAGCATGGGTGTAGCCAGGAAGCGGGTTCATCTGCCTGTTCTCTTCCCAGGTGCTTTACTTCATGAGCTGTCCAACGATGGTGCTCACAAGCAGTTTGATCACTACCTCGAGGAACTGATTCTGCCCATCATGGTGGGCTGTGCCAAGAAAGGGGAGCGGGAGTGCCACATTGTCGTGCTGACAGACGAGGATTCTGTGGACTGGGATGAAGACCACCCTCCACCCATGGGGGAAGAGTATTCTCAAAGTAGGAGCCTACACAGGGTGTGGATGTTTTCAGCTAGAGAAACACTGCCTAGAGTAGTATCCAGACCTGAGGGCAGACACCACTGATAGCAAGTGATGGGCAGAGCGTCTAGAGGGCACAACCGGCACCTATACAGGTCTGTCCTCTGCTGGGACCGCTCTCTCCCCTGTCAGATGCCGAAGTTGGGGGTTAAATTCTCACTTAAATATTGTTGCGCTGGTAATAATTCACAACTTAAATAGCGGGCTGAGAAGTTTACTCATGAGAAAAGCACTTGGCAGACCCCAGAACCCAACAGCAAAGCTGGATGTGGTAGCACGTCTGTGATCCAGAGCTGTTGTGGTGAGATTGAGATGGGAGGAGAGACAACCCCCAGAACCTCATGGGCCAACTCACCCTGCAGTGCGCAGCAGTGAACGGCAAAGCAGAGACCCTGCCTCAAACAAGGTGGCGGGCGGACTGACGGCCCAGGTTATCCTCTGGCCCCCAGCACGCATGCAGAGGCACTAACCCACGTGCATCGTGCACACACACACTTTATAGAAGGATGAGCACTTAAAAGGTGTTAACCCTGCTCTACCTCAGTGTCCTTTTGCTTATAGTCTTTATATAAAACCTCTATATAATTAGTCTTTTTTAGGGCTGCTTATCTTCCATTATGAATATACTATAACACACTGTCCTGATAAGACAGAGATGATGCACAATCAGTTTTAAGCAACAACATTTTTGCACATCTATCAACTATCGGATATTCCTAAACATGGCATGTCAGAAGCTTGATGCTTTTATAATTTTGACACGTTGCCAAATTATCCTTTCTAAAGGTTATACCAATTTGCACTGAAAAACAGTATGATAAAGCCTGGTATGGTAGGCACCTGTTATCCCAACATTTAGGAAGTAGAGGCAGAAGGATCAACCTTGGTTATGTGAGTTTCAGACTAGCTTGGCTACATAAGACTCTGTCGTCATCCCCCTCTCCCCCCCCCCCCCCCCCCCCCCCCCCCCCAAAAAGGCCAGGTTTTTAGCCTGGCAGGGGCAGATGGATCTAGGGCCAGCCTGGTTTATAACATACATTCCAGGACAGCCAGGGCTACGTAGTGAGAGGAAAAACAACAAAAACAAAAGGCCAAGTGTAAGCTGGTTTGCTGCTTCCTTTTCTCTCAAAAGCAGCGCTCTGAAGCTTCCCCCACCAGACTGCAGCAGTCCAGGAATCCCAGTATTCGGGCTGCTGGGGTGGGGGCGGGTGTTCCACGTCGAATGCCATCATGGGTTACATAGCTCCTGTTGTCACCTCACTCATTCCCTCTGTGACTAACGCCAGCTTTTGTGGGCTTTGTTTTCAGTTCTTTACAGCTCCAAGCTCTACAGATTCTTCAAGTACATTGAGAACCGAGATGTTGCTAAAACAGTGCTAAAGGAGCGGGGCCTGAAGAACATTCGCATTGGAATTGAAGGTATTGAAAGTCTCCCAGCACTCGGGAGGCAGGGGCAGGTGGATCTCTGGGAGTTCCAGGACAGAACTACATAGAGAAAAGCCCTGTCTCAGAAGTGTCAGCCAGCGAGCGATAGGGTGGGTCTCTGGGTGCTGCTGTGCCTCTGACTTGGCTCACAGGAGCTTGAGGACACGCACACTTACACTGCATGCACTAGAGGGTCCTGCCTTAGTGCCCTTTGTCCTGGGCTTGCATTTGCCTTTCCTTTAGTCCTCAGTGCCCCTCAGGAAACTAGGACCTGGGTGAATTCAGAAGGCGCCTGGGCACATTTGAGCAAGAACATGTTTCTGGGATCTACAATTATCCTTTTGAAAAACAGCTTAAATTTAAGATTTAACTGGGCAGTGGTGGCTCACATGTTTACTACAGCACTTGGGAGCCAGAAGCAGGCGGATCTCAGATTTGAGGCCAGCCTGGTCTACTGAGGGTGTCCAGGCAGATGCCTTGTCTTGGGGCAGGTGTGGTTGCCACCTGGGCTCCTGTACCATTTATCTCACTGCCGCACTCTGCCTTTGGCTCAGACTGCATGTTTCTAACTCGGGAAGTTTAAAAGAAACTTTTAAGATAATTCCTCAGCCTCTCCTTTGCACATTGTCTTTGCCTGGCTTCTGAGAAGACCTGAGGACAGGGTGATAGGGAACCCCTTGTCCCTGTGATCTGCCTAGCCATTGTGGCTGAAGGCACTCCAAATGCATAGACCTGGCTGCTGCCCCTCCTGCCTCTGCTGCCGTAGTCCCTTATCTCTGTGAGCCCCTTCTGGGTATCTGACAGCATTTGTTTTCCCTTTAGGTAAGCATTCCACATGTCCTTTTTTATTTAACCATGCTTTCTACACAGGAACCTTACTAAGATGACAGAGTATCCGTGCCCTGGTGAGGTTTTGTCCTGTGAGCTAAGGCTCTTGGAGTTAGTGAGTGGCTTCTCTTCCCTTTCCAATGAAAGGGGGAGAATAGCAAGACAGTGGTGGCGCACACCTTTAATCCAGCCCTCGGGAGGCAGAGGCAGGCGGAGCTCTGAGTTTGAGGCCAGCTTGGTCTACAGAGTGAGCTCCAGGACAGGCTCCAAAGCTACAGAGAAACCCTGTCTCGAAAAACTTAAAAAAAGGGGGCAGGGAATCCCTGTTACTTCCCGCAGACCAGTACCTTCTAGGGGCAGAGGGGCCTCAGGGAGACACTGGTCACTTGTCATAGAGCTTTTCTTGCTGTCTTTGAATTTGGAAGCAGATGTCAGAGCAAGCACAGTCTACCATGATTGTGACCATAGTCTTTTCCCATTGCAGGGTACCCTACCTGTAAAGAAAAGATTAAGAGGAGACCTGGTGGGAGGTCTGAGGTTATCTACAATTATGTGCAGCGCCCCTTTATCCAGATGTCCTGGGAAAAGGAGGAAGGGAAGAGTCGCCATGTGGATTTCCAGTGTGTTCGCAGCAAGTCCCTCACTAATCTGGTGGCTGCTGGAGAGGACGTCTTGGAAGACCAGGAGATAATAATGCATCACCCGCCACAGGTGGACGAACTTGACCGGCTAAATGCTCCACTCTCTCAGATGGCTTCTAATGACTTCCAAGATTAGGGACAAATAAGGTCTGCCCCTCACCAGAGCACTTCTGTGGGTGCCCCCAATCTGGCCTCCTGGTTTCTCACCACAAGGAGATGCTTCCTCCTGTCTGTTTCCATCCCCTCTCCATCACTATTGTGCCCCTTTCTCAGTCTGTCTCTGGTAGTCAGATGACCAGCTTAGCCGGCCTGGTAAACAGACGCTGGGTCTGTTGCTGTTGGTTGAGTCTTGTACAGCTGCAGGAGAGGTATTGGACTCCTGTCATCTCACGGTTGACACAGAAGCCCACATCCTTTACACCCAATGGGTGGGTTTTTGCCTCAGACAAATTGCTTAATAGCAAAAGGACCAAATGTCAGAGACAGTCTGTGTGCCAGGGTGGATTGAAAGGTAGTTCCTGGCTAGAATGTCTGAAAGGAATTCCCAGGAGCTCAGGCTCAGCCCTGCTCTTCAATAACACAGAAAGAGTCCGACACAGGAGACAGGTCTGCAGCAGGAGAGCAGTGGCCAGCAGTGTTAGTGCAGCCTTTGGCCTCAGGGAGTCAGAGCCAAATTGGAAATTAGGTTGCAGAATGGCTCCAGGTCAGGCCTGCAGACTGCACCCAGGGACAGCGTGGTGCTGTGGGTATGGCAGGAGACCTGGTGTCTGAAGATGAGATTTTTGCTTGGTACCTTCCTGTGGGCAGCAGGGAGGTCTATGGTGAGCTCAATAGAATCATCCACTGTGCAGGCCCTGCTTGCATCCTCACACCAATACATAATACATTTCTTTCTTTCTTTCCTTTTCCTCCTTCCCTCCCTCCCTTCCTCCCCTTTCTCTTTCTTTGCCCAAGCTGCTCAGACATGGTAAGAAAATGATACCACTGTCTTCCCCAGGGTCAGGTCCAGGCCTTGTCTCTTGTTCACTCTTACATGTGTGGTATATGGCAGTCCAGTTCACTCCTCAGTCCCCTTCCTCTGACATTTCCTTGGCTGTTTGCAGAGTCAAGCCAGACAGCAGTATCTGAGATTACCTTACTTTGTGGTAGAAGTGACCAGACTCTGGACATTTTCCCTTCATAGGTGGTGCATGTAAGCTGTTTGCTTCAAGTTCCTTAAAGAACATGGTTGGTTTCTTAAAGTCTGCTTCCATTAAGTACTGTATAGTATTACTACTTGATGGCAGAAAATTCAGGTTTGGGAAACCCCTCTCTCCAGAACTGAAGAACAAGAATGTTCTTAAAAGGATGTGTTCGTTTTGTGGCAGCATCACAGTTGGAGTTGGTGTGAAATCTTTCTTGCTCAGAAAAGAACTGAAGGGTAACTAAGCAGCCCTGGTTTTTGTGGTGACCGTTGTTGTCTTGGTGAGGCTCAAGGCCAGCATCCAGAATACAGGTTAAGGTTATCTGTCCAAAAGTTACTTCTGGGAGGCTGATGGGCTTGTATTTGAGGTCAGGACTGGCCTTGACTTTGTTGGTGCTACATGTTTGTCCACTCAGTGACCAGCCCAGGCCCTTGTTCAGTGGTGCTTCCTATGTGCTAATTGATGGCCACTGGAGTATGACTGTGTGCTTGTGTGGTGGTGTGAGCAGTCCTTTCTTTGTCCTTTGGAGTTGGTTCACTGCCTTCAGCCCCAAATAAGTTACCGTGCTGTGGCTGCAGGCAGTCTGAAGGCTGGCCAGTGCCACGGGATGCTGGTGACTAAAGGAAAGCCTGGGACAGAGGCCTTGGGGACAGGAGGCTCCTTCTGCACCCTTAGCCCCACCCTTCCCTAAATTTCAGTGTCATTTGTAGTTTGGTGCCTCCGGTCAGCCTTGCCTGCTGTTCCAAAGTTGGGACATTCTTTAGTGCTCCCTGCAGGACTAAGGACTGGGTTACAGTCTTTGGAGTTGGTTATTGACTTTATGAGTGAGAGGACTGTGCCAATAAAAAAAAAAAAAAATGGATTTTGAGCTCATGTGTCTCTTGTAAGTGCCTGAATAAGTAAGTTGTGTTGTGTGTACAGAAACAGCCTCATGAAAAAAAGTGACTTTACCTAGAGTCTCAGAGCATCTTAGCAAGATAAGATTACCTACACCCGAGGCTTGACTGTTCAGTGTCCTTGTATGCTGTGTAATTGATGAGAAACACCTGCCAGTAAGGCCCTGGAAAACAGAGACATAGCATTAATTTGAAAATTACATGGCTCTCCATGGTCGAGAAAGGTGACGGCAAAAGTTAAAGATTGAAGTGACTGGGTACAGTACTCAGCCCCTTGGGACAGCAAACAGGCTGTGGGGGCAGCACAGAAAGAGGGGCATCCTCAGAGTCAGGATGTGTGTCTTTGGGAGAATGAATGTTCAGAGCATCACACTTCAGCTCAAACTGTGTGCTTGAGTTTATTTTGAGTCAAAACAAACTGCAGCTTCTGAGGTGGGTGCAGGGAGCACAGCAGAGCGCTGCCACCTCCCCAGGGGGCAGAGCCACCTTTGTGTCTGGATGGGATCATTTCTGGAAAATTATTTTCTCCTAATGGCAAAATGCTTGTAGGTTTTGCCTCTTACTTTGTATTTACTTTTGAAGTTGCACTTGTTTGGCTACCAGTGTTTACGGAATCCTGTATATGGGATGCTTTTTCTATAATAAAGTATTTTTATTTGTGTTCATTGTTCTATTAATAACAAACTTAAACTAATGGGTGGTGCCCACTGCCCAGGACAGTGGGTTCCTTACCTTAGGACACGGGCTTGCCTGAAGCCTGCCTTGCTCTTCCTCTCTGCTGTCCTAGGCTGCCGTCTTGAGTTCACAGTTGCCATTGGAGACCCCACACTCCAACTTAGAATTTGGCAGCAAGGGAGACAAGGTCTTCCAATGTCCCTACAGTGGTCCAAGGGATTAAGAGGCAGGCAGGCAGGCACTGGTAGAATGGTAGTCAGAGCTTTGGAGAGTATTGATGAAGCCCTCCCAGATCTAGCAGCACTGGTTCAGTTGAGTCAAAGGGCTTTGAACTTTGTGTAGCATGAATAAAAACCCAGAGACAGATGCTGGGGTTTAACCTGAAAATCAGAAAAGCAAAGCAGCCAAGCCACTAGAAAGCTCTTATCTCTATGAAATCTTGAGACTATATCCCACCCTCTCTCTAGTGCGGGGATTAAAGGCATGCACCTGTCCAACAAAAGCTGAAGGTAGGAGGGGCCTCCATAGTCTCTCTGAATACCAACTCATGTCAGCTCCAAGACAGCATCTTGTATTAAGAAAACAGTGCAATTATCCAATACCTCCCTCTCTGGACAAAGATAGAAAGGGGCCACCAGTGCTCTGCTTGCTTGTATTTCAAATCAGGTATCTGTTTTTTGAGACAGTGTTTCTCTCTAACAGCCCTAGCTGTCATAATTCTTGTAGACCAGGCTGGCTACAAACCACAGATACTTGCTTAATACATCACATGAAATACAACCACTACCAAGTTTCATTACTGTTTTCACAGTTTACTCAGAAGTTTAACAGATAAAATGTGGGCGTTTTCCCCAAAACAAAGCTTCCCCCACCACACAGGCTCTACCAATATTACCTTTCACCCATGCTCACACGTTCCTGCAAACACACAGGACCTTCTATCTCCTTTGCACTAGCAGGCTCTAAATGAAAAATTAAGGAGCTAACACATCCAGCACCTTATCCCAGAGTCAAGACTTCCCTAACAATCCTTTTTCTTCATCTAAGACATGGACACCAAAGAAGTTTTGCTTACAATTTGAAGTCTTCTGTTCTCTGAATGGCTGAGCTAGGACAGCTGACCTTCACAACTTCAAGACTGGCAGAGCATGAGTCCCAGTTGTAGTTTGGCTATGAACTGCAAGTTACCACACAGGTGCAAATAATGCTTTAACAGTTGCCAACACGACACCAAACTAATAATACATTAATATGGAACCTCCACGTTTTTCTGACGCAGCAAAAAATCTTCTAAAGGTGGCAGCAGCTGTGACAGAAGGCACTTTGTGCTAAAGTCAGTTTCTCATTAGAGAATGCCACAGCGGAGAGGCCAGGTCAGCCCAAGCTGCAGGCAACACTTTTGGGTGCAGGGGCAAGTGCCCCCCAGGAAGGCATCTGCAAAGGGAAAATTTGTAATCATGATTACAAGGCAAAATGGCTACTTAAAGTTGGGATAGGGAAATACCAAGACAAACACGGTTGCACCATGAGTTGAGGAATGAGCTTGAGGACTCATCAGTAGGCTGGTGGAAACTTCCAAGGAGGCTGTAGAATCTTGCATGGCAGCACCTGAGCCTCCAAGTTCTCTGCTGTGTCCTCAGGAACAAATCGGTCCTTGTAGCACTTTCGGGCATTGCTGGTAGGCAGCATGTGTCTCCAGATCTTCTCATATGGCCGTAAAGAGAGTGAGGGTTGTCCACATGGTCCTTAACTCCTTGGCAGTGCCCAGTGGCTTTGTGGGCTTTCTAACAGCCACAAAGGATCACACTAGTGCCTCCCCTACCAACACTCAGAAGAGCAGCACAAGTCTTTTGGATGGGGAGCTAGGTCAGTGGGTCAGGGCCTTTGCCCTAGTACCATAAGTAAAGTGCACCATGAATGAAGGCTGTGGGAAGCCACTCGTCCAGGCCAAGGTATGGAGAGAAAACACCCACACCCGCAGGACAGAGCTCATTCCTTCAGCCATACTGTTGGCTGTTCACACAAACTTCCATTATTGCGTTATTTAATTTTCAGCTATAAAGAAAAATACTTGGTGGGCTTGGCAGGTGGCTTATCACCACAATGCAGGCATTGGCTGGTACTCAAGTGTACATAGTCCCAGTAATGGTGGATAATGGCTCTTTTCCCCTTTGTTCTGATGAACTTAGGAAATTCAAATTCTCTTTGAAACGTATGACGAACTGGCTCATGGGGCTTCTAGAGAAGCAAGACAGCTGCTTATAGCCGATGGAGAAATGCTTTTCTTTGTCCTATCAGTTTCCTGGTGCACTATGGAGGAACAGCCACTTACAATCACATCTCAGAGACTTGACTATGTGTGTTAATGGGTTCTATAAACTTCTTGGAAGTTCTTTCAAGAGCGTGAGGA